GCCAGGATGAAGAGAAAAAAGCCTGTGCACACTGTGAAAGAACAGAAAATGATAAAGCCACTAAAAAAGACCATTTCAAAGTTTCCTCATAAAAGTAAATGAAGGGGGCTGGAGAGGTAGCTCAGAGGTAAGAGCACTGGCTGCTCTTCCAGAGGTCCTGAGTTCAATTCCCAGCAACCACATGGTGGCTCACAACCATCTGTAATGAGATCTGGTGCCCTCTTCTGGCTTGCAGGCAGAACACTGTATACATAATAAACAGACAAACAAACAAACAAATAAATAAATCTTAAAAAAAAAAAGTAAATGAAGCCAGGTGGTGGTGGTGCATGCCTTTAATCTCAGCACTTGGGAGGCAGAAACCGGCAGATCTCTGAGTTCAAGGTCAGCCTGGTCTACAGAGTGAGTTCCAGGACAGCCAGGGCTACACAGAGAGACCCTGTTTCCAAAGAACAAAACAAAACAAGAAAACAAAACCAACAATAAAAACTGACAAAGTGAATGAAGGCCTGGATATGACTCTGTGGTTAAGAATGCTCATTTCTCTTGCAGAAGACCTGGTTCGGTTCCCAGTACCCACATCTCACAGTTTGCAACCATCTACATCTCCAGTTCCTACATCTCCAGTTCCTACGTCTCCAGTTCCAGGGGCTCCAACGCCCTCTTCTGCCCTTTGAAACACCAGGCACACATGTGGTGCACAGAGAACATGCGAACAAAACATCCACACATCAAATAAAATAAATTTTGTTTTGTTTTGTTTTTTTGAGACACGTTTTCTCTGTGTGGCTTTGGAGCCTGTCTTGGAAGTCGCTCTGTAGACCAGGCTGGCCTCCAGATCTGCCTGCCTCTGCCTCCCAAGTGCTGGGATTAAAGGTGTGCGCCACCACTACCTGGCAAAATAAAAATATTTTTTAAAGGTAAATGAGGAATGACTATTTGTTCCAACCATCTCAGTTCTAGGTAAAGACCCAAAGAATTACAATTAGGATCTGGAAAAGATAATTGCCCTACTATGGTAACAACAGCTGGTTTATATAACCCACTCGGGTGTTCACCCATCAGTTGGATGAACTGACAAACAAAATGCAGCACAGTAGAATACTCAACTTATAAAGGAAGATCTACATAGGGAGTTTGAAGGGGCATATAAAGTCCTAATTTAAAAAAGAAAAAGAAATTCTGACACACTACAACACGTACTCCCCTTTATGCTCCGTTAAAGTCAGACATAGAGATATCAAGCCTTCTTTCGGAACTCATTTCTTCCATGGAAGAAAGCTAGCTGTGTCAGGTTCTTTTACAAAAGCTGAGCTGCTGAGAAGTTCTCATTTCTAAGAGACAGAAGGTGCAATTATAACACAGACAAACCTGGTCACCGGGCGGGGCCTCAGCACCCCCCTCGGGGGCGGGGCCTCGGCGCGAGGAGGAGCCGCGTCGTGACGCAGTGACGAGAGACGCCGGCGCCTCAGTGGGTACGGGTGGGACGGCGCCCCCTGCGGCCCGGCCGCGGGCTCCGGGGGTGCGGGGTGCGGGGGTGCGGGCGGCAGGCAGGGCCGGCGTGGCCCCATGCTGCTGCCGCTGGCCTGCCTGCATGGGCGGGTGGCGCAGTGCCTAACCTCCCTGCTGGTGCTCGCAGAGCCGCTGCCCAGGCCCCGGCGCGGCGCGAAGGCGCGCTGCGCCGCGCCGACCAGCGTGGAGGCGGCCCCGGAGGGAGCGACGATGGCCGCAGAACTGTACCCGCCCGCCGGCGCCTCCGCAGCTACTGCCACCGACATCGCCAACAGCAACGCGGCAGGCGCGGCCGTGGGCAGGAAGGTCGGCCTTTGCTGCCCGCCCTGCCTGGCGCCCGCCCCGCTGCCGCCCTTGCCCGCGCCGCCCGCGCCAGACAACAACAATCCCGAGAGCCCCAACTGGCAGTCCTTCCACCCGACGCTGCGCGAGAGGTGAGCCGACGCCCGCCCCCGGGCTCCGGAGCCCGGGCGCGCGCCGTTCCAGCCCGTGTGCCTCTCCCCCTTGCAGGAATGCGCTCATGTTCAACAACGAGCTGATGGCTGACGTCCACTTCATCGTGGGAGCCCTGGGGGCAGCCAGGCGCGTGCCCGCTCACAAGGTGGGTAGGGGCACAGCCCTGTCCCCTGGCGGGCCTGGCTGAACGCAGTCTCTCTGGACCGTCTTTACAGCCCTGTAGCTCAGGTGACTTTCTTTCATTCACAGTACGTCTTGGCTGTCGGCAGCTCCGTCTTCTATGCCATGTTCTATGGGGACCTTGCGGAAGTCAAGTCAGAAATCCACATTCCTGACGTCGAGCCTGCCGCCTTCCTGGTCTTGTTAAAGTAAGTGCTCTCTCTATTCTGGGGCTGGAAAGATGGGGTGGTTACCTTCCAGTGGTCCCTACATGTTTCCTATAATCCGAGAGCTTGAGCATGGGAGCCCATGAGCTCCTCTTTGAGGCCAGCCCTTGCAATTCCCCAGAAGAGTCCCTGTCTTATTACCCAGGTACATGTACAGCGATGAGATTGATCTGGAGGCCGACACAGTGCTCGCCACTCTGTATGCTGCTAAGAAGTACATTGTGCCTGCATTAGCCAAGGCCTGCGTCAACTTTCTGGAGACAAGCCTGGAAGCCAAAAATGCCTGCGTCCTGCTATCCCAGAGCCGACTGTTTGAGGAACCCGAACTGACCCAGCGCTGCTGGGAAGTCATTGATGCGCAGGCTGAGATGGCCCTGAGGTCAGAAGGCTTCTGTGAAATTGACCGGCAGACCCTGGAGATCATTGTGACCAGGGAGGCCCTCAACACCAAAGAGGCTGTGGTCTTCGAGGCGGTCCTGAACTGGGCTGAGGCAGAGTGCAAGAGACAGGGCCTCCCTGTCACCCCTCACAACAAGAGGCATGTTTTGGGAAGCGCCCTCTATCTAGTCCGAATTCCAACTATGACCCTGGAGGAGTTTGCCAACGGCGCTGCCCAGTCAGACATCCTGACCTTAGAGGAGACCCACAACATCTTCCTCTGGTACACAGCTGCCAACAAGCCCCTCCTCGACTTCCCCCTGACCAAGAGGAAAGGCCTGGCTCCACAGAGGTGCCACCGCTTCCAGTCTTCCGCCTACCGAAGTAACCAGTGGAGGTACCGCGGGCGCTGCGACAGCATCCAGTTTGCAGTGGACAGAAGGGTGTTCATTGCTGGACTGGGCTTATACGGGTCCAGTTCCGGGAAGGCCGAGTACAGTGTGAAGATTGAACTCAAGCGGCTAGGGATGGTCCTAGCTCAGAATCTCACCAAGTTTGTGTCAGACGGGTCCAGCAACACATTCCCAGTCTGGTTTGAGCACCCAGTCCAGGTGGAGCAGGACACCTTCTACACGGCCAGTGCTGTCCTGGACGGCAGTGAGCTCAGCTACTTTGGGCAGGAAGGGATGACGGAAGTGCAGTGTGGAAAGGTAGCCTTCCAGTTCCAGTGCTCCTCGGACAGTACCAATGGGACTGGAGTCCAGGGTGGACAGATTCCAGAGCTCATCTTCTATGCCTGAGGTGTAGGGGTTGGGGTGGACTTGCCCCCAGGCTCTTCTCCATGGAGTCTACCCAGTAAGTGCAGTGGAGGTGCAGGACACTGCCTACTGCCTTACTGATACCATTAAAGGCTTGGCTTACTCTATCAGCCTGAGTCTGAACCAGATGACTTCTCTTTACAGCCACAGCCTAGGAACTGAATTGCAGATGTCCCCTGACCCTGACATGGTATTCCACAGATGGAGGACAGACTTGGGTCCAAGGTAGTCCCAGGTCCCTGCCCAGTGGCACCCAAGCTTCAGGACCCTTGGATTTTCCTCCCATTCTTTTGGATTCTAAGTGGTTCCAGCCTACCTTGAGACCTTCTATTCAAGCCACAAGTTGCTGAAAAGTCACTTAAAATAGTTCCATCCTATTTAAGTGAATTTTCATAATAAAGGTTTCAACAGAACAAGAGCCACTTGTAGCTAAGTGACTGTAGGAATTATTAACGTTCTCTTTCTCACTACTGAGAACATCTCTTCTGTATGAAGTCTGCAGTGCAAAGCAGTTAAAACCAGACCCTGTCTCATCTATGCCTATGTGGCATCTGGGCTGTCTTCCTCTCAAGGGCTGTAGCTAGCGTTCTGCAGGCCACATGTCTGGGTGATTGTGTTTGTTTTGGGGTTTTTTTGAGACAGGGTTTCTCTGTGTAATTTTGGTGCCTGTCCTGGATCTCATACTGTAGACCAGGCTGGCCTCGAACTCACAGAGATCCTCCTGGCTCTGCCTCCTGAGTGCTGGGATTAAAGGCGTGCGCCGCTGCCCAGTGTGATTGTGTTTGTTAAAGCACCTCGGTTCTACTGCAGGGTCAGATGTAAGGAGTGGACTGTATGCTGTGCTGCCTGCTGGGGTGTGTGTGTGGGGGGGGAGGGGGGTAAACAAGGGTCCATAGGCCCAGGCCTCTACCCTCTCTTGCAGCTGTTTTGTCCTGGAAAAGCACCTGACCTTCAAAGGCCCACTAGCACAAAGGCAGTGGTCTCTGGGGAGAGAGTATGTGCCCTAGCCCAGTGTGCCTAACACCAGAAGCCTGGCCCTGTTGGGACTCCACTCTATCCTCCCAGACCCTCTGCTCTAGCCCTCCGTGAGTTGATACTTCAGAAACCATGAAAACCCCATGCCTGCATATGGGAAGGGCCATGGCTAGAGGGCACCTGTTCCTGGAACTTCTTCCCTCAAGTGTTAGGAGGCCCCTGCCTTTCTCAAGGTATCTGCTAGGGTCCCAACATGAAGCATTATACTCTTCCCTTTGGTCCTGAGCCACATTTGACAGGCAGTGGTGGGAAGCCTTCCAAGTCTGCACCAGAAATAAAACCCTACTGGCTGTATTTCCCACAAATTTTAGGAAACATTTCTTACCTTTAGGGCTCTGTACTTTGACCTGACATCCCTCTGCTCTGAGCACCTTAGCATGTTAGTTTCCAGAGGGTAATATCTGAGCCAGCCTACCTATAGCCGGTGCGTTGATGCAGAGCTCCCTCGCCAAGAGCAGGAACGTCTTCCCCAGCACGTACACATTCACCTGTGACAAAAAGAACACAACTAGGAATGAACTGCTATTCAAGGAAACATTTGCTGCTTTTTCTTTTTTCATAATTTTTGTTGTTTTGTTTTGTTTTTCAGACAGGGTCTCTCTGTGTAGCCCTGGCTGTCTTAGAACTTGCTCTGTGGACCAGGCTGGCCTGGAACTCAGATCTGCCTGCCTCTGCCTCTGGGGTGCTGGGTAAAGGCCTGCGCCACCACATCCTGCTCAGCTGCTGTTTTCTTAAAGTGCCTGTTTCACTGTACTGTCTTCAAAGAACCCATTGCCAGAGCCCCTGCTGGACTGTGGAAAATCCACTCCATGACTTTCCGCTGGTCTCCACACCAGGAGGGCCAACCTTCTTCCTGTTTGGCTGCCTAGACTCCCCTAACCTTGTCAGTGGTTGCTTAGAAAAGTTCTGTGAGGGTACACACTAGAGTATGGTAACACAGTACAGAGTTATGCCTAATTTTGAATCAACCCAAGACTGGTACACCACACAATGGCTACTCTTCCTCTACCTTCCAGTCCCATAGATCTCTGTTTACTTGCTGGAACCCCAACTGTTTCCTCCACTCCCCTCACCTCAAGTCCTTATCTGCCATGGGGCCTGCTGGCCACCTGCCATAGTTCTTCCTTGCCAGAGGAGGTAAGCAGTGGGATAAGTCCAGCCTGGAAAGGCTGTGCCTAGGGTTGGAGTGGTAGGAGTACTAGCAGTTGTCAGGAAAGCCAAGGTATAGCCAGTGTACAGAACCCCTAATGTGCAGTTCAGTATCAGTGCAGCACTGTACGGATTAGCCTGGGATACTCAGGCCTGCCTCAACCCTAGAGGCTCCTCCCATCCTCAGCTACCTGAAAACCCCACTGCACTCATGCCAGGCCGCTTCTGGGACCCCTGGGCCTTACAGATATGACTGGTCTAGCCTTCTGCCTCTGGCCTCCTCAAAGAACTCCCTCACCTAATCAAGCCTAGCCTGTGGGACCTCTAAGCCCTGTTTCTTGGCATGAAAGTGATACCCCCCTAGATGTTGACATATGTCAAGAGACAAAGTCTAAGGGATGATACACAATGGGATCTTCATTACATGAAGGACTAGAGGGAGAGATTTGTGACTTGTCAACTTGGTACATCAACCCAGTTGAGAAGGCCAGGTTCAGCCGCCATGGCGAATCAGCAGTGGGCTGGTTACCTTCCATCCTGGCTGGACACAAGTATCTTCCTGAGGCCTTCATGAGGACTGGTAGGTCAAAGTGCACTTTCTGAAGTAATTCTACCTGTCTGCAGTTTCAAGGGTCATCTACAAAACTATGGTGTGCATGACTATATGGCCTATGTGAGTATTCATGTACGGTATGGAAACATGGGAGTATGTGATGTAAGCATATGCACAAGTCATATGGTATATAGTCTGTTCAAGTATGCAAGTAAGTGTGCTCCTATAGGAGCACTCTGTTCCTGAAGCATCCTTTCAGGTTCCCACAGACATCCAGGTCTCCACTCCAGTGGTATGGCCAAAGCTGGCTTTGACCTCCATCTACCTACCACAAACTCCTTCACTATCTTGTTTTGTTTTTGTTTTTGTTTTTCGGGACAGGGTTTCTCTGTGTAGCTTTGCGCCTTTCCTGGAACTCACTTGGTAGCCAAGGCTGGCCTCGAACTCACAGAGATCTGCCTGGTTCTGCCTCCCGAGTGCTGGGATTAAAGGCGTGTGCCACCACTGCCCGGCCCTTCACTATCTTAACCTTGGGTTCCAGATGGATATGTCTGACGAGAATAAATAGACTTCAAGTGTAAATCCAAAGTTTTGACACTTTCCAGGGGATGGAGAGACGGCTCAGTGGTACAGAGCTCCTGCTTCTCATGCAGAAGCCTGGGGTTTGGTTCCCAGCACCGACATGGTGGCTCACGACCATTTCTAACTCCAGTTCCAGAGGATCCAACACCCTCTTTTGGCCTCTATGGGTACCAGGGACACAGGTGGTTCATACACATACATGTAGGCAAATGCTCATACAAATAAATCTAAAAGAAAAATTATTTTAAAGAATACTTTCTAGAGATAGTTTTTTAAGCATCTGGGACTACAAGTGTGTACCACTGTACCTGGCTTCTAGGCACACTAATACTGGTAGGTACTGTTAGACACCATTACATTGACAATTCACTCTCCTATGCTGTGGCTGACGGCGGTCTGTCTGCCTTTGGCATTCATGTGAATCAGGGAAAAGAGGCTTTAACTCAGGGTCTCTGCCCATTCTACTCTTTGACTCCTTTCTTCAGAGCAGCCAGGCCCACCAGAGGCCTCCAGACATGGGCAGGAGCCCCACCCAGGTAAGAGCAAAAGTGTCTTGTCTGAAGGTCAGGCAAGGCCTGGCCCCAGGGAGATCTTACAAGAAACCAAAGAACATACTGTGATGCTCTGGGGCAGGGACAGCCTCGTATGGTCCTCCCCTGCATGCCCCTCACACTCCATTTTGTCAGCATAGCTCTACCAAGAAGAGTAGTCTGTAGCCACCCAGACTACACAGCTGGCCAGACTTCAGCCTTTCCGGTGGCATGCCACCTTCTATCCTGACAGGCTGGGCTGTTCTCCCACTTCCAAAGCTGTGCAGCCAAAGATGACTGGCTGGTGCACCTGTTTTCCTCTAAGAGGAGTCCAAGCTACTTCTGGCGCTGCCCTGGCCCCCATCCTTTCTAGGAGGCTGGAATCAGATGGAAACAGTCATGTGGCCATGCTCTGAACTGAGTACAATACATTCAAAGGTGGAGTCAATGGATTATCGCAATTCCAACAGGTTATTTTTAGCTTGACCAAAAAATATTTCAGCAATAGCTTCTGAGAGATGCCATTTATAAAGACAGCTGGGAGGCCAAAAATACAAGGCACCATCTGACTGGAATCTAACTGTTAGTCTTTGGAGACACTGAGTCATGAGCAACCAGGAGCAGTAGCCTGGGCTATGGGCTCTCAGGACCCCTGGGGGTTTCCTGATCAGGGTTCCCATTCAGGGTGAATTTGTGGGCATTTATTCTACTTCCTGGTCCATAATGTCACTGTGGCTCTCAGGGAGTGGTCTGGGGACTTCGGTTAGTCTCCACCCAGCCGCCACACACAGTAGGTCAGCGGGGCAACAGTGCAGTCTCCTTGCCCCTCTCTCCTTCGCTGCCTTTGAAGGGACCTAGGTGCATCTTCTCTAGATGTTCAGTTACTCGGAGGTGAACAGTGCACGGACACTGTGGCACCCACCTTTAATCCCAGCACTGCAGATGCAAAGGCCGGCGGATCTGAGTCCCAGGCTCACTTGGGCTACATGAAACCCGGTCTTAAAAACAACAGAAACAAGCAACACAACAAAACCACTTTATCTGAATCCAGAAAACCAATGGCCCTAAACAGACTGTACGTATGAGGGTTTCCCAGAGTCTGAAATGCATGCAATGGGGTCCAATATTCCCTTAAAAAAAGAATCTTCATGGGGCTGGAGAGATGGCTCAGCGGTTAAAAGCATCTGGCTGCTCTTCCAGAGGACCTAAGTTCAATTCCTGCAACCTCATGGTGGCTCACAACCATCTGTAACGAGATCTGGTGCCCTCTTCTGGTCTGCAGGCATACATGCAGATAGAACACTGTATACATAATAAATAAATAAAATCTTTAAAAAAAAAAACTTCTTTGCCTTAGACTAAATTTCACAAAGGTCTCTCAAGTGATTCTAAGGCTGAGCCACTAGGCTCTAATACTGTAGCTGTGAGCTGCCCTCACCTACTGAGGCCCCAACCTCTGGCCACACAAGCTTCACCACCCTGAACACAAAGGCTGCTGCGTACTATAGCGAGCAGCACAGATTGGTCTCCAGGTTTATGGAAGCACAGGCTGTGGCCCTATAATGCCCTCAGGGCAGAAAGACTTAAGGAAGGTGATCTACCTGGAGCAGGTCGCTGAGGTCGAGGAGCATGTCTGCAGCCAGAGTTAAGGAGTGTTTGCATGGAGGCTACCAGGGCTGCACACCACGGAGCTGGACCTCATCTGTCACATCCAAGTTCATCATCTGACCAGAGAGGAAAAGGCCCTGGTGGAACCTAACCAGTCCCTGTGTCTCCAGGCACTGAGGGTTCCTCTGGGAATCTGTTTTAAGGATAGAGAGCTACAAGAGAGAGTGGAGGCAAGGATCGGTGAAAGGGTCGGTGAGACCAGAAATGGGGGCTTCAGGTGTTTACTGTCCAGACAAAGCATGGGATGGACCAAACTAGGAACCTCCAAGTCACCATTCGGGGAGTCAGCAGGGCAACTCCTAGGGGACAGAAACAGACGTTACAGCAAGGCAGTGAGCACCTACCGAACACTGCCAGTGGGGCTCTGATGTGACCTATCCTTGCCTAAGTATGACAGTAAACAGCACCAAGAATAGATTTCAGATGAGTTCACACTCAGACGGCACACAGACAAAATAAAAAACTGGTCACCTGTCAGTGATGTTAAGCTACTGGCTACAGGTATAGCCCAGTGGTGAACTTCGCTTAACATGGGCAAGGCATTGCATCCACCTGCAATACCGCACATTAAAATAGTATACAGGCTGCAGAGATGGCTCAGTGGCTAGAGCACTTGCTACGGCTGAGTGGTGGTGGTGTATATCATTAACTCCAGCACTCATGAGGCAGAGGCAAGTGGATCTCTGTGAGTTCAAGGCCAGCCTGGTCTACAGAGTGAGTTCCAGGACAGCCAGAGCTACACAGCGAGACTGTCTTGAAAAACAAAACTAGAAAGAGAAGACAAGAGCCCTTGCTGCACAACTGTGATTCCGGCACCAACATAACACACCAGGCATCCCACACATCTGTAAACCAGATCAATGGGACCAGAGATGGGATGATTCCTGGTGTTTGCTGGTTTCCAGTGCAGCTAAGAAAATGAAGCCCAGGCTCAAGGAGAGACCATGCCATAAAGGAACAGGTGGAGTGATAAAGGCTGGGTCAGGAGGATGTGAGTCAGAGGGTACTCTAGGCTAAACAGCAAGTCCTTGTCTCAAAAATAATACTCCCCATACCACACTGATCTGGAGAATGGCAGCTGAGAAACAAAATGAGGGACTCTGTACTTTCTACAGAATTTTTGTGCGAAGTCTAAAACTTACCCTAAAAATTCTATTTAAAAATAAGCTGGGGCCGGGCAGTGGTGGCGCACGCCTTTAATCCCAGCACTCGGGAGGCAGAGGCAGGCGGATCTCTGTGAGTTCAAGGCCAGCCTGGGCTACCAAG